GTCTCTAGTTACCTACTCTAGGGTAGTATAGTGAGAGAATAATATATATATATAGTATATATATATATNTATGTGTGTGTGTGTGTGTGTCTATTTCAAGTTGATGTTGAAATTGAGTTGAAATTTCTTATGAATTGGATACTATGCCTTCTTCGCATATATATATCACCGATGGAAATGATAGTGATTCCCAAACTGTTGTATGATACATGAAATGTGGTGCACTGATTTATATATTTCTGAATAAAGCTTAAATCATTCATAAAGAGATTGAAATTATCTATCATGAGGCACTGAATATGCATGCTTATGATACTGTGAATGCTTCTGAATTCCTGAAAAAGAAAATAGCAAAGCATGAGTGAATAAATGCTTGAGAATGCATGTACACAGTTGCAATTAGGTATAATATGACTGTGATATAGACCACTACGCAATGGGACATCCATTGGTAATGAGATACTATTATGATGTGACTGTGATATGTAGCATTATGCAATAGGACACCTATTGATAGTGTGGTATGATACTATGAGACTTCCGAGATAAGGCACTACGTAACGGGTCACCTATTGGTGGTGCGATCTATACTGTTATAATAGGAAAGCAATGTCGGCAACTGAGATCTTACCCCAACCCCCATAATAGGAATGGGGGATGTGAATGTGAATATCTATGAGGGTCGCTCCCCCCCTTCCTTCCCCCCCCCCCCCCACCCACCTCCAATCTATAATGGGCACTACACATTGGGTCACCCAGCGGTAGTGTAACGTCCTCTCGCCTGAAAGACATAAGGAAAGAGTCATGTTTTGCAAGGCCACCGCTTATTGAAAACCCCAAAGTGCACTGAAGACTGTGTGCGTGTATGAGGACGTTATGAAATGGGATGCTTATTTGTCATTGTTCTCTCTCCTGAGTGAGGGTAGAAGTTTCAAGTTATAGGATTAGCTTGGCCTGATCAATAAGACTTCTACTTCGAGAGTATGCAACTCTAGTCTCTGCCTGTGTGCATTGTGTGTTTCGTCTGAGTTTCTGTTTTGTTATTGTGATAAGAGATGTAGTAAATAGGAGCTTATGCAATATGTCATGTCCTGATATCTGAATTATACTTCTTCTTATACTGCTAAAGAATTGTGATGCATAACTCCGCGTTGTGACTACTGTATAAATTGGGGGAAATGTTTATAAATGTCATTATATATAGGACGGTATGCAATAGTGTTGATCTACTTACTGGGCTTTTAGCTCATCCCTTTAATTTCATCTATATAGAGTGATAACTTCCGACTCTTAAGAGCGGGTAGCCAAACATTCAGGCAGCTGAAACTCGGTGCTTGACAAAGGAACTTCTTGATAGTAGGTGTTCGGTAGCAATGCCACAGAGTTGTTTTGATGAAGTGTTGTAATCTTACTGTCAGGCCTGTAGTGCGTTGAACATAATTGTAAAGAATTTTTGGAGAATGCATAAATACAAAATGGCTTTATGGTTTTATTTTATGTTCAGTTTTGTGGAGCATGGTGAATGAGTTTTATTTTCTTTCGTGGTTTGCTTTGATTCCACATTTCTAAACGTGTTGAGTCACTCCGACCTGAGTGGCGTTCGCCACCTCCGGTCGCGATCCTGCACTTTGTCGCCCTCCAGCATGTATGGTAGGGGTCAGGGGGTGGGGTCGTAACAGGAATAGTGTAAACCCAACGGTCAAAAAATAATTTGGGCCGATCAGACATACATGACTATATTTCGCATTTGAATTTTAATTAGTTTTAAGAAATTCAAATCATAAGAATTTTGATATATCCACTCTTCTCATCAAGGCACACCTAATAAAAATATTTAAAAAATATTCACAAAAATTGAATTGATCAAAATACCTATGATAGATTTCAAATATTCTCATCAAGGTGCACCTAATAAAAATATTTAAAAATATATTCGCAAAAACTAAATTGATAATAATACTTACGAAAAATTTTAAATATTTTTTTTAATATTTATTAGATTCTCTTATTTTTTAAGAATATATTCTCAAAATTTCAAGTGATTTAGATTTCTATAATAATAAAAAAATTCAAATACGAAATGTAATTGTGATCATTGGATCGGCCCTGATTCAACCTGGGCCATTAGGCAATTACTGTACTTATCAGCTAGTGGGCTAACCTCATATTCTCCCTTACATATATTTTTTAGGGACATATGTAGAAATGTGTGCCTCTTAATAAATCTATTTTTGAGATGGATTTTAGGCCTTAATCATTAAGGATATGTAATCTCTAACATGGAGATCATGAATATAAATAAATTAATAAATTTTAAAAACTAAAAAAAATAATTCTACTAAGAAAACATTTAGATCGTTGGTTTCCATTGTTTTCAGATGGAACACCTACTTGTATCCATCTTTAAGATAGATGCTTTACACTTTTTGGAATGCATTTGATTTTAATTTATATCATATTGATCTTTTTATTTCTCCATAAATCTCTTTCTCTTGCTCAATTGATGTGTATCTCATTAAATGTTATATCTAATATAAATAGTTTTAAAATAGTAAGAATATAATTATAACATTGTATTAAATATTATATTAAATTATTTTATAAGAAATAGAATAATTTTACCATTTTGAATCTACTAAATCTTGTTATTCATATTGATATAAATGTTTTTAAAATATTAAGAATATAACTATACCATTGTATTAAATTACATTGTAAAAAATAGAATAGTTTTATTTATGCATATTTAATATGAATCGTCTACAAAGAGATCATATATCTTTTGTACATAGAGGTCACAATCATTTGTGTCCCTTAAATTTCAAAATGAGTTGTTATTAGAGTGTCATAGGCACAAAGTTCCAAAAAAGAAATTCTTGGACTTCGTGACACCCCAAGCGTTCTAATTTGACATCTAATGAATGAGAATGATTGTGACCCCCATGTACAAAAGATAAATAGCCTCTTCGTAGACAATCCCTATTTAATATAGGATGATAAGGCCTAGCCTTTATGAAAATAAATTAAAGCCTCATCTTGAATCCTTATTCGGAAATCACTCTGAGCACTGAAAATCTCCATGATGGTACTCTAAATCAATTTCTTATAGCTAACAAATGGTATTGATCTTGCAAATCCATGAACACTCATTATTAGGGCAAATACATGCTAGATAATGTGTTATAATATACAATATTTTTAGGGTTTGAAATCCGAGATGATCAATTTAAAGGTTTTTTCGATGCAAGAACTACAATTTTGTGAGTTTTAAGATGAGGCTTTATTTATTTTGATAGGGCTGCAGCCATATCAAAACATTTTCCTTTAATACAATTGTCATTCTAATATTAGAAGGAAAAAAATTAACAATATTTAGTTTAAATTTGAATAATACGTGTGATCATATTTATTACTAATGAAAATATAATTGACATATTTATTATAAATGAATTAGCACACTAATTTTATTACGATAAACTTGTAATAAAAATGTTCTACCATTTTATTTTTACCATGATCAAAATATAATGATTAATATTCATATACACATACTCGTTACATTCGTAAAATAAAAAAAAAATATCTAGAAAAAAAGGAAAATATATTATGAATACAATATCTAATTATACTTACAGGTTTGTAATATTTTCATTAGATTTAAATATAATTCTAATTATTTGTGTAATTAATACTTGATAGTGATAATAATTGTCATAATGTTCAAAATTGTGATAGATAGATATAAATAACACGTTATTAATACAATATTTCGATGAAACCTGCTTTAGTAGGTGCATCTTACTAGTTTAAGTTTATTTGCATATATTTCTTAATATTCAATTATCTTTTTAGATCTTTAGTAGGTGCATCTTACTAGTTTAAGTTTATTGGCATATATTTCTTAATATTCAATTATCTTTTTAGATCTTGACATATTTAAGGTATGTATAATGTACTCTCCTCATATTAAGGCATACTTTCAAATTTTATCCACGTTTATAAAACTTACAATTTAAAATGGTACATATTGAATAGATATATAAGCATTAGATAATCTTTAGACAGTTCAGATATTTTGTTACATGTACTGTTTTTAAGACACGAAATTCCTTTTTTAAGGTTGAGATGAACAAATTGAAGGGTTTCTCCTCATCATGGCACTTTCTTCTAGATAAATTTGAGGCGCACCTTACTTCAATACTATGAAGTTGACACCTTATTTAAAAGGTTTTGCTTTTATTATAAAGGGTGCAGTTTGTATAGAGCCTAGGCTCTAAACAATCAAATTAGAGCCTACCTTTGAATGGTGCCGAGAAATGTAATTTTAATGTTGGAAATATTTGTGATGGCCTTAAAATATAGTTTCATATTTATTTATAAAGTTTAAAGCTTCAAAAATAATGTAAATCTAAAAATTGACGGTCCAAAAATGTGCTACAAAATACACTATTTCCAAAACTTACAATTTATTTTTTTCTCATGTCCAAACATCTTGATGTCAAGATAATCAATTTAAGATATTTGAGCATCCAAACAACCTCTCTTAGTAAAATTTTTGAGGTCGGCTCAAATTTGATTGTTTAGAGCCTCAACTCTATATAAACTTTTCCCTATTAGTGTGCAGTTTATATAGAGCCTAAGCTTTGAACAATCAAATTTGAGCCTATCTTCAAACGGTGTCGAAAAATGTGGTTTCAATATTGGAAATATTTGTGATAGCCTTAAATATAGTTTCATATTTATTTATAAAGTTTAAAGCGTCAAAAATAGTGTAGACCGACATATCTATGAAAACTTGAAATTCTTGAAAATTGATGGTCCAAATGTGCTACAAAATACACTATTTCCAAAACTTACAATTTATTTTTTTCTCGTGCCAATGCATCTTGATGTTGAAATGAACCAGTATAGCCAATGACAATTCAAGTATTGCCGTTCTCAACCACTACAGCCAATGACAATTCAGGATTCGTTTAGGGGTTTTAAAACACTGGCCTTGAGTTTAGCGATCCAATTTTGCATACAAATCCCACTTTCAGAGAGCTCTTTAATACCACTTTCCCACTTTCTTCATAAAAGCAAATGGTTGTTTTTACTTTACCAATCTGTCATTGGCATAATTGGTTCTTTGAGTGCTACTGTTCCAAAGACCGCTGATGGAGTAACTGGATCGTTCTTGGAAACTGTGGTTCCATCATTTGAGAACTGCTAATTGATATTTAACTTGTGCCTGTGGCAAGAGCATAGCAACGATGAGAGAGAGAGAGCTCTACAAAACCCAACTACACACATTGCCGCCAGTTTACATTTGACGATGTGAGTCAAAATTCCGACATGGTTGCGTGTCTGTGATGTTTGAACTTCTGGTTGGTGTTAAAACGAGTGGCACTTTCAGTAAAGCCTTTAGATGTGAGAAGCCTCAGAACCTCCACTCCTTCTTGGAGAGCAACGTCAATCTTGAACACACAAAAGTCCCGGAAAATTAGCTTTTGAATCCTCATGTTCAGATTTTGCAATAAAGAATCATATGATGTGTGGAAGTGTTGACATAGATTTCAATATGATACGCAGATGGAAGAATAATCACATCCAAAGATCAAAATGCACGATAACTTCCTTGAATTGTAACAGTTAAAATACTAGTAGTAAACCCAAAACACAAACCATTGAATAAAATGCAATGCATTCTAATGAACCATAAAGAATTCTATAAGCAAACATACTCGTTCTCGAGCTGTTGCATTGAACTTCTGAAGCAAGAATGCCTTTGGATCCATCTGGCCTGGTGGCCTTCCAATGCCTAGAAATAAGTGAATCCAATAGTACGAATTACTTTCGTGACCAAACATGTAAGGGTACGAGGCATGGAGCATTCTCAGAATTACAAACTAACCGATTCTTAATCGACCAAATTCTTTGTTTCCATGGAAATGATCAATGACACTCCTCAATCTGATCACAATAACAGGAATACTAATTAGATATTCACAAAAAATGAAAAATGCCATGGTAGAAAGTACTGCAAATCTTGGAGAATAAGATCCTAAAAACTTGTTAGAATTTCACATTATGCAACTCAAACCACCAAGAAATGCGCATTAGATGAGTATCAATGGCATTTTTTCTGTTAACCAAATATATACTCTTCATATCAACTGAATTTATTTTAGTGATTTGTACATTTGTGTGCACATTTTCATTAAAATATGTCTTTAGATAAATATGGATAAGCGAGGACCAAATCACAGAAAAGACTTAAAAGGCTCGAACCGAGCACCCTAATGTAGGTTTTCAGAATTATTTTCTAATGAATTCTCCCTCATGTCGAGCATGCACATCATTCTGACAAATGCTCCACAATTATTTTGCAGAGCTCAAGAACTTTATTGCAGTAATAGAATAGGATATCTGGTGGCTTGCCCCTGAAACGCAGAACCATGGTCCCAGAGCAGGATAAGACCTTGGTAGGAGGTTCTTGCAATTAAGTTCTGAAGCCATGTGAAATAATCATTCTCATAGCTAAAGCATCACATGTTTGTTTCGAGAACAGAACAATAGGACGCATTTCACCTAAAGTCGAACCAGTTGCAACTCACCATATTTTACTAAGAACCATACTCCTTTTTAACAAATAACCATTTTGTTTTCCGAAAAGGTCAACTTGCATCAAGAGTAAAAGAGTTACAAAAAAGAATCAGGCAGCCCGAAGGATGGGTGCTCATTACAACTTCCAAATATGGGTGGTAAACCCTGTACATCACACAGATCACAGCATACAGAAAGGATGGTGCCGTCCAAGCGTCAAGATATAGAATAAACGACCAAAGCTCAAAAAGTTACCAAGGAGGACTTCCTGGTGGGAGTATTTACTGCTGGTCCATAACATGTAGCAGCTTTAGCAAGACCTATCTGCGACGTGGTTTGCCTCAGGGCATACCACGTATGTCGATAAGAGATACGCATATGCCTGCAAAGATCGAAAAGTTGGTTAAAAATGTGGTCCAGCAGCTAAGGACACAGTGTCTCTCTTATTCCAGGATATGACGTTTTTGGAGTCCGCTTTGCCACCAAACAACTAATCCAGTCCTCCCTGACTCTTTTGATCCCCTCTAAGTGGGCTATAGCCTCCACAGTAATGGAATCCGTGATGCCAATGAATCCAGAGTAGGGCATTAAAGTTTTCCACTGTGATCTCTAAAAAGGCCACTAAAACGTGCCCCACAGGGGTTCCAGGGGAGCAACCGTCGATGTTGAGTTTGATGGAGCCAGGCTTTGTGGGCGCCATAGTGAAGATAGAGGATTATGGATCAGTGAAGTTCCCAAAATGGCTTGCCAGTTATGAATATAGTTGTTGGCCGCGAAGTGCCTACACGTTCTAGATTTTCTGGCCCACACGATAACTATCGCCTTTATCCGGTCCATAGCAGTCACGACAGAGTTTTCTCTCCCATCAAAGATTCTCAGGTTCCTTTCCTTCCAAAGGAACTGGCCTGCAGCAGGCGAAGGGGGGGACAACAAGCTCCAGATAGGTGTGGGATAGAGGACGGCGTAATTCACTGCCTTTTGAACAGGAGAAGGAGAATGGCCCAAAGGTGGGAGGCCCACTTGCAATGTAAGAAGAGGTGCTGAATAGTTTTCTCCGCTGCTTTGCACATTGTGCATCTATTAAGAATAGAGGATAACCCGATTTCTATAGCTGGCCTCTCAGAAATCGCCAACCAGCAAAAAACTCATATTTCTGGGGGGAATGGCAGTTATCTAAGCACAGGAAGCAAGAAGAGGCGACTCCTTTTCTTTCTTTCTTTCTTTGTCGCTTTTTTTTTTTCTTTTTCCCGGTAAGAAGATATAGTGATTCATGATGATATGGTGAATTATGGCCTGACTTAGGCTCTTGATAGAGCAAAATGGCGGAAAAAGGTTCGTGTAACCGACCCCAAATATTTGGGATAAGACTTGAATGATGATGATAATGTGGGTTTTAGGGGATCCGGAAGGCAGGGGGGCGAAAGAAACTTGGCATAGAAGGAGGGATACTGAAAAATTACCAGATAGCATGGGCATCCAAATGATAGTATCAAACCCTGCAGTGCGTAGGTATGTGGTTTGTAGGGTGGCAAGAAGAGCTTGGAGTGAGGAAACCTTGTGGTCGAGCAAGGGCCTTCTAAAGTTCGGGCTCTACACCCTTTTTCCTCTCCCAAAAGTTTGAAGAGATCCGCAATCCAAGCATTCCTGTCCCTGGTAACTAGGTAAAGATTGTTGAAGCTTTGCTGAAGAATAGAGTTCCCTATCCGCATATCTGTCCAAAATACCACTCTAGTGCCCGACCTCACTCTGAATCGAACATTGGACCAGAATTGATATAAAGAGCAGAGCAGTGAGCGCCCCCCTGCAGATGATCTACTATTCAGGGGCAATTGGCAGCCAAGAAAGAGGGTTTATAACTTTATATGGTATTTTTACCATATTACTTGTTGCCAGACATGGTTGTCTTGGGTGCCAAGTCTCCCCCACCATTTCCCATGCAAGGCTTTGTAGGCTAAAGGAGATGACGGATGCCCAGTCCACCTTGTTTCTTAGGTAAGCAAACCTTGTCCCAAGCTAAGAGATGGATTTTGTGCTTTTCATTATCTCTTGACCAAAGAAAACTCCTCATCTTTTGCTCTAGAAGTGCAACAACAGAAACGAGGATTGGAAAAAGCGACATCTGGTAGATGGGGACGTTGGAGAGGATGGCCTTAATGAGTGTTAGATGGCCTGCTATCGAGAGGAATCTACCCCTCGACCTTGCCAACTTATGGTCGAATTTTTCCATGCTGGGGTCCCACAGTTACTTTCTAGGTTGCCGATACAGAGCTGGAGACCTATATATTTAGTAGATAGGTGATCAACCTCGCAGCCTATCATATCAATCAAGCTTTGGGCTGGGGCGTGATCAATGGCCACACAAATTAATTTGGATTGGGCCCCATTGATTTTGAGGCCAATGGCAAACTCAAACGCCTACACCCTATGGGTTTCGACCTGTTGTTTGGAGGTATCATAGGACACCAAGGTGCCGTGGGCATATTTTAAGTGGGAGATCGTGGCCTTGGCTGCCAACTTTGAAGCCCTCCAGCAGTCATTGTTGGTAAAATCTATCAATCGAGTGCCTGAAGACCTCAGCCACGATAGCAAACAACTCTCCCCTTGGTGGAGACCCATGGCAGAAGGGAAGAAACCTTTGTGGGAAACCTTTACTAGGATAAATAGGCAGGGATAGAGACACAATCATTCATAACAATTCCGCCATTTTCCCCCAAAGACCATCTTTAAGAGGATTTCCTGTAAGAGATCCCAATCCACGTGATCATAGGCTTTCTCCCAATCCCAGTCTAGCTTGATGACCACTCATGGGAACTTATCAAGGTATACCAAATGTATACACTCGTGCGCTATGAGGGCTCCGTCAAGAATTTGGCAATCCTTGAGGGGATATTACATACTTGAGGACCTCCCTCAGGCGAGAAGCCAGAACTTCAGAAAGAATCTTGTAGGAGATGTTTAGGAAGCTTATCAGTCTGGAGCCTACAAGGAGCTCCTTCAACTTTTAGGACCATAGTCACAAAAGAGGCGTTCATTGCTCTGCGAATCATAATCGACTAGCATCAATGTCAAGACCCAGGTTGTCCCAGAAATTGTTGAAAAGGGCGACTGGGAAGCCATCTGGGCCAGAAGCCTTGTCTTGGCCAAGGTTCATGATGGCAAGTAGGATCTCTTCCTCAGTAAAAGGTCTTTCTAACCAAGCCCCCTTAGGAGCTGGGACAGGAAGGAAGGACAGGTCAGCCATTCTGGGTCTGTTGTGATTATCGGCTGTAAACAGGTTATGGAAGAAGCCTACAATGGTTCTATCAATGTCAAGGTGTTTGTCAAAGAGGTTAGGGCCCTCTTAGATCTGGGAAATGGTGTAATAGCGCCTTCTAATGCTTGGAAGAAGGCTGTGTTTTGATCTCTGAATTTTTACCATTTCACTAGGGAAAACTGGAACTAGTAGATTTGTTCTTTTTAAGGATGGACTGGTAATTCATTTTGGCTTTGAAACGGTCATCTCTAACAACTTGGGGGAGGGTTCTAGTTTTCTCAATGGAGTCGAGGTTGTTTATGACTGCCAAGGAGGCTTTTGCCTGGCCAAAGTTCCCCTGAAGGGTTGTATTCCATTCTTTGAAGGAGGTCTTAAGCATGTTAGTATTCTTTGCAAGCACGAACCCACTCATACCTGGACTGAGTAAGACTCCTGCCATTCTCTAACCAGGTTGTCATTTTTGGTTCCTCTAACAAAGAGAGCTCAAATTTAAAAGGTTATTTGTTTGAAAAGGTCAGGGTAGTGTCGAGGAGGATTGTTTGTCATCAGCTGTAGGTTTAGTAAGGGCTAAAGAGAAGGTACCCATGAATAGTTTGTCCCGGTGGGTAGACACAAGAAACATGTCGAGCACGGAGAGTTAAGGGCCAGCCAGTGTTTTAAAATGTGGGATGCGGCCAAAAGCGATGGGGGGGCCGATGCGGCCCGGATGCAGGTGAATCGTGACGATGCAGTCAAAAAATGTAAAAAATTATAAAAAATCTAAAAAAATAGGTTAATGCATAAAAAAAATATGGAGGTGATATATGTGATAGTAAGTATTTTTTTTTTAATGATTAACTTCGAAATTATTAGCTATCGGAGATTTTGTATCCAATTATCCACTCTCCCCTGATAGAAACTAGAAAATTAAAACTAGCTTCATAAAACATTCAACAATCAACAACTGTAAGCACAACTTTGATCAACAACCATAAGCACAAAATAGTGATATTACAAACCAAAAGTCAAGCTCAAGAAGAGTTAATAGTTAATAACTTAATACAATCATCCACTTTGAGAGTCAATTTTGAAATTTGAAGGCAATTTTTCAAATATCAATCAGAGAAGTCATCTT